TGATATCTAGACTTAGTAAGTAGATATCAAATCAAACTAGATTTAACATGTTGACAAGCAGTAAAGAGAATCATGAGATATTTTAAGGAAACAGTTGATTATGCTATTTGTTACCAAGGAAACAAAGATTTGTAATTAGTTAGATATATTATTGATAATAATCATGGAGGATATCTAGATGAGAAGAAGTCTACCTCAAAATATGGTTTCTTACTATGTGATAGTGTCATATCACGGAGTAGTAAAAAATAATCGTGTATATCATTATCTATGATGAAAGTCGAATATATGTGGCTTCCGCATCAGCAGCATACGAAGTTATTTGGTTGAAAAAAGTTCTTGAAACACATCAAATATTGCAGAAAAAATTGAACAGTGTAAGTCTATTGTGACAACAAAGCTATTATATCGTCTTCAACCTAGGTCCCAAATTTCTTTGTAAAATCAAACTAGATATCAAGTACAACTATAGGAGAGATATGATTAGATGTGAGGTAGTGAACGTAAAGAGTATGTGTCCGTAAAGTATATGTCTACCAGAGATATGTTAGCAAATTCATTGACTATTAATCCTTTTATTGGAGATGTATTTATGAGACACACAAAGTCTCAAGACATGCGTAGATTTTGAGATGCTTCATATTGTTTTTTTGTTTTCTCATGTTCACAAAATTGATGTTTTTTACTTATCAATAAAGTTGATTTGTATGCACACATATTTTAATTGTTGTGTGAGACCCAGAGCTTTTGTAATGGCTCAAAATATGTGACTTTAGTCAGATACTTGAGACTTAACTTGGTGTTTGCTATCATAATATGTTTTCAAAAGATCATGAGTATAGAGGAGCATATCTAGAAAGCACTTAAACTAATGTTAAGAGCATTGTGAGAAGAGGAAGTTCATTAATAATATCTCATTGATTTGTGTTCGTCGGTGCACCAGTTATAACTTATGAGTTATAATTGTGAATATATACAAGAATAATGATTTATGAGATCTTGATATTATATCAAATGTAATTTATATGATTTGGGGTACTGCATACTTTATAATATACTTCCAGGTTTACACTCGAAGAAAGGTTATATATTTCTAACAGATGTATATAATTTAACTCTAACACAGTATGTTGGTCGCATGGTCTAATTGCATGTATGAATAATTGTAGAGATGAGAATATATTCTCATATAGGAAAAGCACTCTCATTATGTGTGAGTGGGAATGTAAAAAATTTGGATCCATCCATAGAGGGTGTTTTCATGGCCCATTAGGATTATTAAGTTGACCCTATTATTTTCCTATATAAATACACATAAGGTATATAATTTAAAAACACCGAAAATATTGAAATACTGAGCGCATATTTCAGAAGGGGGGAGGAATCCAAATCAATGGACATTAATGAGTCATCATTGAAAGATGTTGTACATGACACCATCAATTCGACTTAAGATCCAACGCTAATAGAAGTTGCTTACTTTCCTAATAGCGAAGGAAAGAAGCTGAAAGTCACTTAACTGTGAGGAGAGGGAGGTTTTTTTTCTAGTAATAGTGGACCGGGTCTCATGAAATCTATGCCGGTCATCAAAATCAAACACAAAGGTCGAAGGACCATTCAATTCATTAAGGGGCATAGCGATGCCCTCACACTGCACCATTTTCGGGCATAGCAGTAGACGGACGAGCATGCCTGAATTCAAACTAGACCAAACTATTTTTAATTTGAGCTGCTCTCAGGCGCACAGATCGAAGATCTCACTTGTCCTGGACAAGTACGAAGAGATGTTCGTGTGACCGTGGATGGAGTCTCAATGGATCTTTTATAGAATTCTTTGTCACACCACACAAGGAGATATTTTCATTGATAGATCAAAGGGTCCTCCCCGGAACGAATTCTTATTAGGTTACTAACAGTGACAATAAAAACTAAAATTCATTTACAATCAATGTAACAATTATATCAATAATATTCCAAGCATAAACATCTTAAACATAGTCCTAATAAGATTCAAACAACCTTCAAGAACTCTGTTTATCAAATTAATGTTATATAACAAGAGAAGGTGATAGTATGACATAAATCTTGCTTATAAGTACATGATTGGTAAAATACATACCCAAATACTTAGAGGAGGATTTCTCCCATTTTTGCTTTTCTTATCATGTATATCTTTGGGATAAATTAGAGACTCGTGCTGATAACATGTTATTATTAAAGTAAAATTAGATAAATACTACTGCCAGAGAGCAGTATAAATAGTGAGACGAAATAAGAGCTTTCTTATACTTCCAATTATATCTACTATCAATTTTCATATACAATGTAAGTTATTTATAAGTCTAAAGTAACTTGAAAAGTCAAGTTTACTAGTGCATATGAACATTGACATCCATCAAATACTAGTGCATATGGACATTAACATCCACCATCTTAATATTTCATAACTAATACTTCCTCTGTTTTAAATTGAATGATCTATGTTTTGACTTGATGTGGAGTTTAAGTAAGTAAAAAAGGACTTTTGAAACTTGTGGTCTCAAATTAAAGATTTGTCAAATCTATCAAAATATCTTTTAATCTTGTGGTCCTAAACATGTCACGGAGAAAGTTGAAATAAAAAGTTGCTAAAAAGAAAAGGATCATTCTTTTGAAATGGACTAAAAAGAAAGTAGATCAAACAAATTGACACAGGAAATTATATTATATAGGAAATGATTTTCATTTAATTATCTTCTTAATACATACTGCCGAACTATATCAGATGCTAATTTGATTAGCTGAGCTTCACATATTATCACAGGAGACGCCATAACTTCATACTATCATTATGGCTCTAACCAGCAAATTGTCATTCAAGAATTAATGACATGTTTGATGACATTTGTTTAGCCGAAAATGTGTTCATAGCAAAGTTTAATTTGTAAAATTAGGGATTAAGGAAAAGTGAATTAATTACGATCAAACTCTTTTTTTTTTCTTTTTTGGGTTGTCGATGAAACAACAACAAAGGAACGAATATTGACTATGCCATAAGAACAAGAATATGAAATCGATATAATAACGAGAGCAAGAAAATAACAAGATTTAGGATCTTTTCCATATTCTCAAAACTTAGAATTGAAATTGTATTTTACTATGGAAGATGCCTTCTTATCCCATGTAAAGGCTTACTTAAAGGGTAAAAAAGCTAAGGCAATCACAACTCAGTATCTGAGAGGCAATTGTATTATTTCCTGAGATCTTAACCATTTGTACAAAATGTTTCAAGTTCCTGGTGCAAGAGAATCAAAGGTCCAGAGGGGTACGAGTTAAAGAAATCCGTCTTCATCTTAGGCGGCATGTTTCTCCTCATATGTCGATTGCAGAAGTTCATACCAACATCACTCATATGATCTGCACAAATCATGCCAAGTACTTGAACAGGTTTGGGTTATCTTTGTCCCTTTCTAGGTAATCCCTAGTTATCAAATTTTCGATTCTCTTCTAGATAGCTTTGACATCAGGCTATGGAGTATCCAAAACAAAGTAATTAGCTCAGCTGAACTTGAATAACGAACATTGAAATTGAGAAGTAGAAGTTTATCCCCCTGAGGATACCTTGAACATCCGTCCAAACTGCTCAACGCATTCCATGACCAGTTAGCCCTATAATTTACAACTCTTCACAATACGCGCAATTGAAGTATCTATAGCATATCACCTATCCTTGTCAACATCTTCAATTACATTTTTCTTCTCATCAACAGGAGGGAGAGGTATCTGCATACCATTGCAACAATATCCTCACAGGGTCAGTAATGTAGTGCAACAATTATAGTAGAAAGGCTAACCTTACTCATCTATAATTGTACCTTGATCATCCTTATTTTGTCAGTGAACTTTGAGTTGAACTCAAACACGCCAGTCGGAGAAATTGTTTTGGTGCTTGGCTTCTGGTTGAGAATCTTGTTTTTCGCACATGAAAGGGAATGAAGAAGCCAAACAACATCATCAACTGATAGGTTTAATTGCGTCATGATTTCCTTATAACTCAATCTATCTGATGCATTAAAGAGCAGCAGAGCAGAAGCCTACGAAAAGGAAGAAGCCTTAATCTCGTTTTCTCATTGATAAAGTAACAGAAATGTTTCAAATTAACTATGCCTATCCGATTTCAAAAAGTAAGCCAACAATCAACTTGATAAGTAGTGACAACGAGCTCAATAGTCTTTGGCTCAAATTTTCCATTTACGTTGCAAGTTCCCAAAGAGTATATCCATGTAAGTTTCCTGTGCTTCATTTTTGTTTGATAAAACTTTTTGAATACTTCAACACACCTAACCTGACAATGCGCAGCATAAAATGAATCAATGACACGACGTTTGAGAAGAAAAATGATTCAAGCAAAGAAACATGCATCATTCTTTGCCCAAAGAGAAGAACTTCAGCAGGAGGAACAAGGGTCAAAACCAAGATAAAATTAACTGCATAATGCCAATTAACATATTGATATGATATACCATTTCTGCTGGGAGGTTGAGATCAAAAGACTTGCAGCTAGGCCAGAAGTCAAGACAGTAACCGTCTAGCCAATTCTTGGATTTGCTATTGGATTATTGCTCAAATACTCCTCAAAAGCTGGCTTAATTTTCCCTTGCCAATGTCAAATCTATGACCTACAGGAAGAGAAGAAGAATGTCACCAGAGAACATTGATCTGGATAGCTTACCATTCCCTCCATCTTTGATGTGAACTGTCCCCACACTGCTGCTTCAACTTTGTTAGGATACTTCTCTCATGTTCATCATTGGCTCCTGAAAAAAAAAAGGAAGTCATAAACTTGTAACATAACAGAGAAGAAGCTACTATTCAAGTAGTGGATGAGATAACAAGTCCTTATCACTAATATAAGCTTGCAGCTTTACCACCTGCAAGTGAGATCTAATATCAGCTTTCTCCTGCTCCAGTAGTACGAAGAAAAAGCGGATGCTCTAGAGGAAAAGAAGGGAAGGGGATCTATAGAGCAAGAGTTCACCTTCTCCAACGTCTCTTCAATGGCTTCATCACTCAATTTCTCACTCCTGCATTTTTTGAGAATTTTGTTGCAGAATGTGGCAAGAAGTTCAGCGCCTCATCTACCAGCAACACCCTTGTTGCAGAAAAGTTCGAAAGTTTCTTTAAGTGCCTACAAAGTTGATGGGGCAGATATTAGCAATTTACTTTTACCCTAATGCACAGAGTAGAACATTTAAATTAGACAACTATCCCTTGCTCCAACACATATCTTGTGAAAAAGTGTGCGGTTTTGGAAACAGTTATTCTCATAAGCCAAATGAAGCTCAATTACTTTCCGAACAAAAACCTGAAAATTCAAAAGTTAACCGCTGAAAACATATTAAAGGATCTGATAACAGATTTACTAAGGGATTACCTGTTCCTGCAAACCAACCACATGTCTCTTATATGCTGTTGAGCACTAGTTGATCAGAAGGAATGCAAGACATTGAGCAATTATATTAAATGAATTCACAAAGAAATACAGTCTCATCATTTATGGAATCATCCCTAAAGAAAATGAAATGAATTAATTTTGACATCGTTCTAACCAGCAGAAGGGGAAAAGTTAAAATACAAATTAGAAGGAAATGCGACAAAAAGCACTTGTTGGTTCCCTAAGCAACTGCTCATGCTCTTTCATTAAAATAAGTACAGAATTTGATTTGGGGGGGGGGGGGGGGAGGGGTGTTCTGTAGGTAAATTTCAGAATTACAAGATATAGAGAGCAGAGAAGTCAAAAAGAATATCAGTAGAAGAACACTTCTCTCACGGTTACATCATTTAGACTAGAATGAAATAGAAAGCATTAAACACACGACTAGGAGTTTCCCTAAATCACTAACTCCTAAATAATAGGAATATATGGCTAACAACAACTCTTATTTAATATAATAAAGCAGTAAAAGTAAATAAATTGCAGTTTGAAAAAAAGCAAATTCCTAACACTCCTGCTTGGTTTGGAAACTGCAAACTCCATTTTTTTTGTCTGAGAAGCTCAAACTTGCTGACTGGTAAAGGCTTAGTGAATATATCAGCCAATTGTTCTTCCATCTTGCAGTAGGCAAGAGTTATATGTCCATCTTTTTGCACTTCTCTCAAGAAAAAAAGTTGATTTTGAAGTGCTTAGTTCTTCCATGAAACACAAGATTGTGAGATATAATTATTGCTGCTTCATTGTCCACGAACACTTTGATGCTTCCAGTCAGTTCCATATGCAAATCAACTAGAATTTTCTTCAGCCACAATGCTTGATTTACTGCTGCAGCTGCCACAAACTCAGCTTCGGCAGTAGATTGAGCCACAATATCTTGTTTCTTACAACTCCATGAGAAAACTCAAGAACCAAGACTAAAACAGTACCCTGAAGTACTCTTTGCATCATCCTCGGAACCGCCCCAATCACTGTCGGAGTCCTCACAAAGCTTCACAGATTGACTCTTCTGAAACTTGACTCTATAGGTGATGGCTCCTTTGATGTATCGCACAACTCTTTTGGCTGCCTGCAAGTGTATTTCACTGGTACAATGCATGAACCTTGACAAAACACTTGCAACATACAATATATCGGGTCTTGTTGCTGTAAGATACATTAAACACCAATGAAACTTCTGAAGTATGTCTCCACCACCTTTTCGGCTCCATCATCTTTACTTAGTTTCTCTTTTTGGTTCATGGGAGTACTAATCTCATTGCAATTTTCCATTTTGAATTTCTTGAAAATTTCCTTTGCGTACTTTTTCTGGCAAACTGAAAACTCATCTTTTCCTTGTGTAATCTCCATTCCAAGGAATTATGTCATAAGACCAAGATCAGACATTTCAAAAGCTTGCATTATATCTTGCTTGAACTCATCAATTAGGTTTTCACTGCTCCGTGTAATCAAAAGGTCATCCACATATAGAGAAACAACAAGAATCTCACTGCTATTATGTTTAACATACAGTGTGAATTCTGAAAGACTCTTTTCAAAATCGAGGCCGAGCAAATAATCATCTATTCGACTATACCAAGCTCTTGGTGCCTGTTTTAAGCCATAAAGACCTTTATGTAGTCGGTAGAATTTATCTTCCTTTCCATCTATACAAACCCTTCAGGTTGCTCAACATAAATTTCTTCTTCAAGAATGTCATTAAGAAATATTGATTTGACATCCATCTGATGCACTTTCCAGCAACGTTGTGCAAAAACAGTTATAAGCAATCTGATCGTGTCGAGCCTAACAACTGCAGCAAAAGTGTCAGAGTAATCTATACCAAAAATCTGCGCATAACCCTTAACGACAAGCCTTGCTTTATGCTTGTTGATTGAACCATCAACATTTAGCTTGGTTCGGAACACCCACTTTACCCCAATTACTTTTCTGCCGTGAGGTTTGTCAACAAGCTGCCACTTATCATTTTTTCGATCATAAACAACTCCTTCTCCATTGCATTTCTCCACTTGGGGTTGTTGAGAGCATCTTTAGGGTTAGCAGGTTCACGAATCGCAACATAGCATCTCTCATATATATTAGAGAGCAATCGAGTTCCCCTAATTGGTGGATCATCGTCCCTTTCATTTAACCACGAGCTTGTTTTCTAGACGGAATTCCTTGAGTCATCTCAATCCCATTCTGCATTCTCCATGAAGTGGACATCACTGCTGATAACTATCTTCTCACCTTCAAGTTGAAAGATTTTGTACGCCTTTGAAACATTACTGTACCCAATAAAAATGTCAAAGGCAGCATTCTTGGCTAGATAATATGCCTCTTGGGAAAGCAATGCCTGAATTACATAAACATTCAGATCCCAAAAAAATGTAGATACTTGTACATGGATCCTTATTAAATAAAATCATAGAGGGCACAAAATAAAATCACAGAGGGCACCAAGAAAACTATCCATAATAAGCCCTCTTTGTTTGCATGACTAAAATTGAAAAATAAAATACCAACAAAGGGGTCACCAGACTAATGATTTTCTGTTTCTTTATTAAAGAAATCATTTTTATAAGTTCCAAACATTTCAGAACAATACATAGAGAGCAAACAATCAAGATGGTACATGGATATAACAAACATCAAAAAAAAATTAAGAATAATACTTCTTCAATTCTTATTTTTCTTGTTTTATTGTAGTGCCTTGTTTAATTTCTACCAAAGTAAAATGCGAATGAAAACTGCAGCTACCCTTACCCGTTGTTGTGATGTATTCTTCAAAAGCTTCACGATATTTGTCATACAGCTGTTGAGAATAATCATGTGGGGGCTTCTGAGTACACATGTTGTAAATTGTACTGCAAGTACACTTAAGGAGACAAAAGGTTAATCAAATCCAAGTTATCTACATGCCTAACAGTGTGGGAGTCTAAAAGGATGCGTATACAGCTTCATATAGTCCTCTGAGCTGAACTGAGGCTCAGGCGGCCCTTCTCGAATATTCTTCAGTTTTGTGATGCCCCTTTGCATGAAGTGCCATCCATGTTCCAGATCGATTGTGCTATGTTGGATCATTGTGATTTTAATATCTTCACAATTTAACAGAATGCAACCTTACACAAATTCCAAACACCTGTGGCCCTGTTCCCAAACTAAATAACATCACCAACTAAACTCAACAAAAGCTTATAAGAAAATCAAGCAAGTTATAATCCAATCAGAAAATCAAATCACATTAATATTTGACTCTATTCTTGAGAATAAACAAACAAATGACAGAAAGAATGCTCTTATTAAATACCGAAATCTGATGTTGGACAGTCTACAAACTTGGCTTTATCCTTGAAATATGGACCAGATTACTTGGATTTCAAGGCTTCAAAGTGTGGGGCTGTTAAGGAGCGATGCATACTAAGAATCGTAGAAGTACCTTGAGCCATTTCTGGGTCTCACAATAGATAGGGTAGAAGAATATGACTAAAAATCAAGAACAGGAAACAGGATTACATATTGGCGGCTTATATTCAAGTAATACAAAGAGGAGAGAAGATAAAGGAGCACAAGAATAAAATCCAATAATAAAGGAAAGAATCAAAGCTCACTAACTAGAAATATTCCGAATTACCACAGTTATAGATGCCTAACTGGAAAAGGTAGTGAGTTTTTTTATTGGTTCAAGTGTGATCTTTGTTTCTAAAGATTCTTTACCACTCAGAATTATATATTTAGTTAGATGTATAGGACTTCAAGTATAATAAATTATCAAGCACAAATGAGCCATTTATGTAACTAAACAAGGCCAAACTTCAAAATTTAGAAGTGCTGAGATAAGCGTAAAGTAAAAGTACATGTCACACAAAAAAAAGACACCTTCAAGAGAGCTTCACAAGAGTACAATAATGTGCAGCAGAGACTACCTACATTCAGCCGAAATAAAAACCCTAAGTAATTACCTCATCCGCTATTGATAATTACCTGCCAACAAATCATCTATGCTCATGATTCATGTGAGCTTACATTTTATTCATGCTTATTGCTTGGTGAAAAGGAATTCTACTCTAAATTCTATTTAGGGATTGATTCAGCAATTTTTTTGCAAGCTCTTAACGTCCTTTGCCCTGAAAAGGGGCAGTTTTCAGGAAATTGCAGTTACTGGACTAGTACCCACACGATAACAACATTTTGGTGGCATGAGACATGTCGGCTGGTATCATATGATACATCTCTAAGCACATTCCATACAATTGATTGATTCCTAACGATTATGACTTGGTTCCCGAAGACCCTAACCTGATAGGAATTCCTCAAGAACTAAGTTTCACCAAGTTATTCCTAGGACCTACATAAACTAGAAATACCAAAATTGCACACTTGGCCCTAAAAGATATGAACTTTTAAAATCTTGAGGGTTCCATCAAAAAAGAAAACCATATACAACATTTTCCAATAAACATATATAAATTAATAAGTAAATAAAACTGAGAATAGCAAAAGAAAATACACATCACAAACACTGAAAAGCTAAGTTGCTCGGATCCTTCAAAATTACACTATTTTACATGAACGCCGTCAGTTGCAACAAATAATGAACAAAAAATTAAACTCAAAACCTACCAGTAATGAATACTAAACCTC